TGACGAAGATCCTCCGGAAAGACTGGTATTACAAAGAGGAAGGAAACACGCGTGTTGTGTGAGGCCTTGTAGAGAAAGACTCGAAGTGATGGCAGGAAGATGTGGGCAGAGAGTAGGAGAGTGAAGTGTGCTGGCACCGCTGACTAGGGTGTGGTACTTTCTTTTCCTCTTTTACAAAGCCCGCTTCTTCATGAAAACTTTTTAATGTGCTCATGGTCATTCAGTCAGTATCCTGCAGTGCTGACTCCTCTGTCACGAAACATAGAGCCAAGGGTTTCATCAAAGACTCAACGTTAGTGTGCCAGGGATTCTCACGGCCCACTGTTCACAATTCTTTCTCAATCTGTTGCCCGTCTGCTGCTAATGTCTGGTATCAGGAAGAACAGGCAAGCGTTGCAGAACTGGGGGACTTAACTGACAGTTGCAATGGTTCACAGGTAAATTTGTGGTTTTAAAGAGAAACCAAAGATCTCTGTCACATGAACAGGATTTTCAGAAAGGTACGAATTAAAAGATAAAAATAACCACCCAATGTGGGTTTAACTTTGCATTAAGCTTTTATTAAACAGATTAAATATTTGCATACACTAGCACCTTTTTATGCTTAAGTTTTTTTTGTTTTTTTTAAGATGGTAGAAGTTTGCTTATTTTTAGCTCAACCCTGACTAGCTGTTAATTTAGCCTCTGGTGTCAACTAATCTGGATTATTAATAAAAGAAGACACCAAGAGAGTTGACTACTGCCAGCGAGATATTACCTGCTGGTAACCTTTTATCTGATGCTCCTGGTAAAAAGCTCACCTATCCTTTTAAGGTGCGAGTTGTGCTCTTAGAAATAGATCAGCTCAGTCAGTGTGCCATCTTCTATACTGCACAAAAACTGTACAACAGTAGGAGATGGAAATCTCTGTCACACATTAAATTGAGTTCCATATATATAGACCCAATACAGACATGTGAAAATATCTTTCTGGTGCCTTGTATGCTGCTCTGAGTACTACATGTTCTCAGAGTAAGCCTTTAGTTTTCTCTGTCACATGCCAAGACAAGGTTTGTGGAAAAGAAAAAAAAAAACAATCCAGAGGACTATTGTGAAAGAAAACTTGTTACATTGCCAGAATGTCATATGCTGCATTGTTAAAAAAAAGAGTTGTGTTGCAACACAGACAAGAGCTGCACAGTCATGCCTTTGCTCACATACATTAGAAACACTCCCTCTTTTCCAGCTGAAAAAAACAGGCAGCAAGAAGTTTTTGTTCATTACCTCTCCCCAATCTTTCCTCTCCTTTAGTATCTTTTTTAAATGCTTGGCGAATGCCACAGTCGACTTGACCTAGAATTTTATGCAATTGACCTAGTTGAAGTCACCTTCAGCTAAACAGCTATTTTTGTCATGTGCAATCACATTTTAAATCTAATGAGGTTGTGGAGAGTGATGTACTCCACATCCCACTAAGGATGAAGCATTTAATGTTAGTGGGACAGATGGTTCTGTGTGTCCTTATGTGTGTGCATGTATATTTATGCGTATGTTTAGTGGGGGACCACAGGATTAGATCTGATCAGTGCAGCTTGGCCACTTGTGCACAGAGAGCATTGCAACAACGGATTAGGGAGTAAACTGATACTTACTCTAGCAGGAAGCGAAAAGTGGCAGATAATCAACCTATCCCCTCTTGTTGCTTCTTATCCTCTTCACATACCCCAGCAACAGCAGCCACCCACCTATCCCACTGCTCTCATCTCATCTGTCTGTCATCGGCCTTCCAGCCTTGGCCACCAGATTGTCATGCAAATAGTACCCCAGGCCTCTGTGTGCTGATAAGAAGGGCCTCTCATTTTACAGGGCTTTGTTTTCTAAATAGTGATGAGCTGGGCTGAAGAGAGCAGGGGAAAGGGGCTCTGAGTGGTGGCCTGAATAGGCCCTCTCACTGTGGCGCCCTGGGGAAGACTGGGTTGAATGAGGCTCATTCTTGGAGATGGGTTGAGGAGTCATGTTCTCAAGCAGGAACCAGGTTCGAAGTGTTGACAGAGCCTGATATATTTCCTCTATTGCTGCCGTCTTGAGTTTTTTCCAGGATGAACTTTCTCTGTCCAACTCCACCCAATCCTTACTGCTCATACTCAATGTCCGTTTTTTGACACCCCACATGGTTTGCCCTTTTTTTTTTTTCTTCTAATGGGGTTGTCAGCGCTTGGTCTGGAACCTCATTTGCTGTTGTTATTATTGGATAAACAGCAGTTCATGGCACATTCACAGGGTTTCTGCTCTCTCGCTGACCCCACCGCTTTGTTATATTCTGGCCAGGGACATATGAGAACTGCTGTAGAAACATTTAGTGGGCGTAAACTTCAGGTTGCAGATTGATTTGCACATTTGGCTCTGAGATTGCCCTAAAAGCTAATAGAAAACATATTTGCCTCCAGCAAGGTAGAACTTTCAAAGCCGGAATTTGAATGGATTCTTTATAGTCAAATAAAAATGCACATGAAAACCAGATGTTTCAGCATTGGGCAATAAACTAAGAATGTCTTCATATTTCTGTGATTCTCATTAATGAGGTTGTACAGCACAAGCCACAGCATCGGCTGAAAAAGTGGAAGTGATGGTCAACTTGGTCTTGAACGAGACCTTTCCTCACTGCCAGAACCCCATCCCCCCTTCAACTCTTTCCCACTGCTGCTTTTTTCCCCCCAAGTTCTTCTTTTTATACCTCTTTTTTTATCCTTTTGAAGTCTCCTCTCTCTTGTAAAAAGGCAAGCTGGTGGTTTTGCCTCAGTCTTAAGGAGAAAACAAAGAAGGAAGGGGATTGTAGGTTAAGTTTAGGCAAGCCCTCTGTGCTCCTCATTGAAGCTAGGGGGGGAGGCAGGGGCAGTAAAAGTAAGAATTTTAGAGCCTCTCTGTTTTTCATTTTATGATTGGCTTTTTTATGGGCTGGAAGCCACAGCTGGTGGTGTGAATAGCTGCCCAAGGTGACCGAGTCCCAATAAAGTGCTCGCCAGCCGGGCTGGGGCCTCCAGTCCAGCCATGGGACCGCCTTTATAGGCCGTCTTACGAGCTTAGGCCTCTGTTAAAACCTTGCAGGGCTGCACTGAGGAATTTAGGGCCAGGAAACAAGAGAAAAATAGGGTTTATGTGTCAGGGGTTAGTGGGATCCAGAGATGGGGGTAGAAGCTAGAAGGTGACCAAGGGTGAAAGTGTTTTTTGGCCATGTGTGTGCGTGTCGGAAAATTGTGGGTGGCTTTGAGCTGATGCAGGCCAACATGTGTGACAAAGATCGGATCCAGTATAAGTGCAGCAGCTTGTGTTTCTCGGGGGAACTATGGAACCTTTACATCACACATGCATTCACAAAACACCCTGTAATGCTTTGAAATGTAAAGACGTGTAATGTACCATAGAAGGTGTGTGACCCGAGCAGAAACTGACGTCAGATGTTCGTGAGGCCATTCACAGAACGTGTGAAAGCCTTTGGTCTTGTCGTGGAAATGTTTGTATCTCTTATGCATCCAAAGGAATTGTTGTTAGCATAAGGAATGAAGAGAAGCAAGCTTTGACTTTTGGCTTCAGTAGCAAATTCTAAAACCTAACAGACTACATGTCAATCAATAGTGCGTCTGCTTACTGCTGTAAAAGATAGTTTACTCTGGGACTGTCAGGAAGTCATTATCTCTTCATTCAACTGTGTTCAGATTAATCAGTGATACAGCCTAGTTGCCTCTGAGACTTGAAGTATTTGGAGAAGGGGGTAATTTTTGTGCCAGATACTTATCTGTATCGTATCTCTTTTAGGGTGCCTTACTTTCAGAATACTTTTAGAATTATTCATTTACATCTCCTGCTGATTTGTAAAGTGAATTTTAGGCCACTACTTTTACTTAAAAAAAAAAAGATGGATCTGAACATGTAGACAAGATATCTGGACTTAAACTAAAACAATCAGAACAATACCAGAAGTCCCTTTTGCCTCAGCCCACTTTGGATATAATTACTTAAGCACCAAAACAACAGTAGAGCATTTCTTTTATGTGTAGTTTCACATCCATCTTGCTTTGTTTTGACTCTGTTTGCATTAAACTTTGAATGCAGTCTGAAGAGGTCAATGCCTGAGAGATTTTTGTCACATCTCTGTCCATGACTAAAATCTCTCTTGATGTTTTTTTCTGTGGGATGGTGTAGCCTAAAAAATAATAGTGGAGTAAAACCTGATGGAAGAAATATATCTTTGAAATATACTGAGTATTCTAGCTGGATTTTTATACTTCAGCCCTAGAGTAAATGCCTCAAACTTTAGTCTTTGAGGCCCGGTGTCCTGCAGCTCTTCATGTCATCAGGTACTACAGAGTGCTGCTAATGAATTAATTCAGATGTACCGAAGCAGATGCACCTCTATAAGCTAAAATACACCAATCTTGAGGACTAGAGTTTGATTATTTTGTTCTAAAGATTTAAAACATGACTTGCACTTGTGGTTTGGCCCTGGAACTTTATGAACAATCTTAAACTGGTACAATAACACTAAGCAAACTGAGGCTATGTGATTTGCTGTGTATATTCTCCCATAAAAGGTACATTTGATTTAACAGCCAGGGATGTTCATAGAACATGAGCTATTAAAGGTTTAGGACAACCCGTTTTATTATAGCTGTAGTGGTAGAATAATGACCTCACGGATCTATCTCAAACTTGACTCTGTAATAAATGGCTTGCATTTATTATACTTCAGCTTGAGGCAGTTTAAACAAGATAAATGTAGATTTTTAAGAAGTATCACTGAAACAAATGTTGTTTAATTGGGCCTAATGATGAAACACCAAATGACTTGAACTTAAGAAGAAATTCTTGCCTGCTTGTCATAGATAGTTTATTTAGAGACACTAAACTACACACTTCAGCTGTATGAACAGACAGTTGATCTGCAGTTATTTGTAGACCGGATAGTAGTTCCAGGACAACAATTAATGACAGATTACATCTTCTTTGTCTCTTTCCTCCCACAGCGGTGGAGACACAGAGCACCAGCTCAGAAGAGATGGTACCCAGTTCCCCGTCCCCTCCTCCCCCACCTCGTGTCTACAAACCCTGCTTTGTGTGCCAGGACAAGTCCTCGGGGTACCACTACGGGGTCAGTTCCTGCGAGGGCTGCAAGGTGAGGAGGACCTGTAGGACCTACTTAGCTTCACTTCTGCTCATCTCATACGTCTCTCAAACTATTTTAATGTTATGCTAATGAGAGGAAAAGCAGCAAGTTAAATGTCACATCCTCTCTTTGATAACTGTAGTCTGCATATTCTTTTTTTCCCTTGCCATCTCACTCTTTTGTGTCTTGCTTCCTGATGCTTCAGGGTTTCTTCCGTCGCAGTATCCAAAAGAACATGGTGTACACCTGTCACAGAGACAAGAACTGCCAGATTAACAAGGTCACTCGTAACCGCTGCCAGTACTGCAGGCTGCAGAAGTGCTTTGAGGTCGGCATGTCCAAGGAAGGTAGGTTCTCCTAACCTCTAAAACCAGCTCTGAGTTGAGCCATTAGGGAACTAAGCAGAGGGCTTTCAAGGGTTCACTAAGGAATGATCCAGTTGATTTAAAACAAGTCTGATCTACTTTATACTAACAGAATTTAGAAACCTTCAAACTATTGTCATTCTAAGTATATATCTAACAGAACACTGGGAGTTAGACAACTACCTCTATCACCCAATGTAAAAATGAAAACAATTTAAATTTCCTATAATTGCAGCTATGTTTTTGTGGTTTATCCCTCTGAACAACCACTGTTAACTTCAGCTTCTCAGATCATCTAATTTGCATTTCTGCTAAATAAATAAACCATTTGTAACTTCTTAATGAAATCTTTTTTTAAAAACCTTAAACCTTACAAGTATGGTTTAAGCATGTTCCATATTTTTTATTTAAGATAAACACTTCTTTAGTTAAGGGAAAAAACGGAAAAAAATCACATGGTGTGTTAATCATGGTGCTGAAGGGTAATTAAATGTCGCTTTATCTCAAATGTTGCTGGTTGTATGGAAACATTTGATGTCATGCAAAGATCAAATTACTTGGCCAGAGAAATGACCCAATTTTCCCTTTTATTTACTTCTAAGCATCATCTCAACATGCTGTTTTTCTCCTTTCAGCGATTTCAATAGTATCCAGTGTCGGCTTATTAATCAGCCGTGAAACAAATTTTATTTAATGAGCAATGCAATCATGCTAAGTTAATCATCCTGTGGTTCTGTAGCTGGTGGCCAGTGGCTTTAATTAGAAGTGGCCTCTCAGAACTAATTCTGCTTCAGGTCCCATATAAGCTTGAGACATCTCTATGCAATACACTTAAAACTCACAGCCAACATGGAGTTATGTGTGCTTGACTGAAGCTGCTCATCGGCTCATGTTCAGAAAAAGACTCTGGGAAAGTATGCAGCATAGAAACACAGAAGCAGATGATGAGTCCTTCAGGGGTGGTGATTGGGGTGAGTCTGGCATTGCATCAATCATATGACTAATCGCTTCACAAAATGAATCTGATTTCCTGTTTCGCCACGAAAACCTCACCCCTCTGGCTGACAAAAACACTGTCTTCATTCATGTAGAAAAACGCAGGAGAAAATATGATTTAGAGCTCTCACAAAGAAAACCTTAGCAGGATACATTACTTTTTTCAGTATCAAAAACCCCACTTTTGTTCCCTTTTTGTTTCACACTGTCAGTGGCAGTAAGTGCCAGTTTCTTGCCCTTTTGCAGAGCCCAGGGGGACATGTACGTGGGTGTAATGTTTGTGTGGGATGTGTGTTAAGACCGGGATCACATTGTGCTTCTGCTATTACTGGATATCCTGAGAGGAAGGAAAGTATGGGAGGCGGAGGAGGGAGAGAAGGCAGAGCGGACTGGCTTGTGTGCATTCGGTGGACAGATTGATCGACATGGAAGTGACTGGGTGATAGGAGGAAGATAGACGGTGTCTGTGTTAGTGTCAGTGGCTTTAAGATCAGCTTCTGGTGCTGCTGAGTTATGCTTTCCACTAGTGAATGTGGAAACATGAGGTGCAAGTCATTAAAGAGATAGTCGTTACTCTGTTTCAGATATTAGATATTGTAAATGGAATAGATTCATTTTTTATGATTACTACCAAATTGTCTGATAGGTGGAACTTCTTAACCTCTTTTTTTTTTTCTCCCCATGTAGCGGTGCGTAATGACAGAAACAAAAAAAAGAAGGATGTGAAGGAGGAGGTGGTGCTACCAGAAAGCTATGAGCTAAGTGGAGAGCTGGAAGAGTTGGTTAATAAAGTCAGCAAAGCTCACCAAGAAACATTTCCTTCACTTTGTCAGCTGGGAAAATACACCACCGTAAGTCAAACCCATGTCCAAAATTACATTGCTTAACTAATTCAGTCCCCATTAGGTCATTTGCATTATGTCTGAATGATTAATGCAACATGTAAATGTTTTTTTTTTTCTTGCTTCTTGTTTGATTGATGACACATGGAAATGTGTTGTGAGGCTCTGGCACCTTTGGTCCTTTATGCAAATAGGGTTGAATATTTTCTGATAGTAATACATAATGAAGTGGCTTTGCTTTTTTGTATTCAGAACTCCAGCTCGGACCACCGTGTTCAGTTGGATCTGGGTCTCTGGGACAAGTTCAGCGAGCTCTCCACCAAATGCATCATCAAGATTGTGGAATTTGCAAAGCGCCTGCCGGGCTTCACCACACTCACTATCGCTGACCAAATCACTCTGCTAAAGTCAGCCTGCCTGGACATTCTGGTAAGGAGTTACTTTTTGCATTATGATGTTCTCAACACTATGTTTAGGAAATAAAGGGAGTGAAATAATCCTTGCTGAGATTATGCTGGTATCTGGTGGATGAAGGTGGTACTGCAAGCCCATTGTCCCAGAAAGAACTCCCAAATCTAATACAAATATTTTGGGCATCATAGATCTTTTTTTGTTTATGATTTTAGTTTTGGCAATCATGTCTGTCATATGATTACATCATATTTTACACATTCATTAACGTTTTTCCTCTCTTTGATTATAACTTGTAGATGCTGCGAATCTGCACACGCTACACCCCTGAACAGGACACTATGACCTTCTCAGATGGTCTGACTTTGAACAGAACTCAGATGCACAATGCTGGCTTCGGACCACTCACAGATCTGGTTTTTGCCTTTGCTGGCCAACTTCTACCCCTGGAGATGGATGACACTGAAACTGGTCTCCTTAGTGCCATCTGCCTTATCTGTGGAGGTACTGCAGCATACATATGCATGACAAATCAATGAGCTGCAAAGAAAAAAAAAATTCTTCTTCTGCTTAAACACTATAAAGAGTTTAAGAATTCATTGCAAAAATATCTTTTAATATTAAATATATAAGTATTTATAAGTATTTAAGATGTACATTTAGAATATTAAATGTGAGTTATATCCTTTTTCAGATCGCATGGATCTTGAGGAGCCAGAAAAAGTGGATAAGCTTCAAGAACCTTTACTTGAGGCTCTTAAGATCTATGCCCGCCGGCGCCGCCCCAATAAACCTCACATGTTCCCTCGTATGCTGATGAAGATCACTGACCTCAGAGGGATCAGCACTAAAGGTCAGTCATTATACCTTCATGGCTACAGTATCATCTGGAGCTAAGTAAGTAGAAGCCCAATTTGAGCCTCAGGTTGGTGCTGAAAGCTAGAAAGTTTTTATTACAAAGTCACTTTTCACCTTTATTTCAGTTAGGTTGTCATAAAACACAGAGGGATTCAATATCACGGACAGTCTGTTCAGATGAAGGTTGAAAAGAAAAACAATAATAGTTTATGCAAATGAGATCATATAGTCAAATTGATTCAAAGTTTTCTATCTAAGGAAAACCAGTTGATTGCATCAACTCATTGATTCAAATGCAATCCCTCACACTAAGCATGCTTGTAGCAACAGTGGAGAGGAAAAACTCCCTTTTAACAGGAAGAAACCTCCAGCAGAACCAATCTTCAACATCTATAAACAAGGGTGTTGATGGCAGCAGCACAGCTGATATTTCTCTCCAGGATGGTTTCACAGCCAAACAGAAACAGACCAGATGGAGCTACTATGAGAAAAAGCAGAGAGAGCATAACGTTAGAAATTGAACTAACAGATTCTGCAGAGTGGGAGATATGTATGGCGGTGTAAGTTTCCAGCTTGTGCTGTACATGCCCTCCTACAGTCAGCCAGAATATTAGATTTAGGGGAAAACTGCATAAAACATGCAGACGTTGTGTCCGCATGTCTAATTCCCACAAGCAAAACGGAATCTTTAAAAACAGCAGCCTACTGTGCTCATTTTTTCATAGTCCTTGAACTTTAACTCTAAATTTCACAGAATTGAACTAGTACTGTATTTGATAGACCAATGCAAAGTAGTGCTTAAAGATGCAAATGATGGATGTTTTTTTTCCTTTTAAATAAAAGCCTTGTGCTTCTGAAAACTGTGGCACACAAATTTATTCAGGCACTTTTACTTTGATGGTTATTTTTTTAAACCCTACAAGCTCAACCATCAGAGGTACCCAATATATCAAAAAGAGCCCATCTGCAGGCAGTTTATTCTTAATGTAAGCATAGCTCTTCTGTAAAGGATTCTAGATAATATTAATCAACAAACAGCATTATGGAGAGTAAGAGAGAGAGCAGGAAGGCCAGGTAGAATGTTGTGGGGACATTAAAATAACAGATTTCAAAATAATATCCTAACCTTTGAAAATATATGCACTTTTCCTTCCATCATTTAAATTTAAAGATTTTTCTATGGAAATATTTGCTGTAGGGATACATTTGTTCAACAGGGCAAGGAAAGCTCACATTTTTGCCTGGAAGCAAAATGCAGAGCAATCCTGAAAGAAAAAAGGTTTTGTACAATAAAGACTACAAACTGGGATTAAAAAGAGATTTTTCAGGGGTGTTCTGCATCATATTTATTTGACTGTGAGTGTTTAAAGGGCATTGGTTGCAGTGCTTCACCTGTACAGCTATACTCTCAGTCTGTTATTTGTTAGGGTTTCCTACTACCATGAATCATATCCCTCCCCTTTTTTAAAATGATCCTTTTTTGGACGGGTCTCTTTCATAAATTCTAATATCCATGCATCCACATTTGTGGCTTTAATGTGAAAAAATGTGGAATAGTTTAGAGGTTTTGAAAAACCTCTTTCTCCACTTGATATTACTTCCTCCATGTTCTTTGATGTGTCGTACATGTGGACATGATTTAGAAATAATCAATTGAAATAGAATATTTTTTATATTAATAGAACGAAGAGCTGTTCAAAGTGAACCATTTTTAAAATGTTTGTATTTCTTAAAATCAACACAATAGTTTCCTTCACTCCTATATATTTTGCATACCTACATGTTACACTAAATCATGTGATCTCTGTATACAGGTGCCGAAAGAGCCATCACCTTAAAAATGGAGATCCCAGGCCCAATGCCTCCTTTGATCAGGGAGATGCTCGAGAACCCAGACGCATTTGAGGACCAAACGGAAAGCAACGAGAGTCCACAGCCCCCACCGCCGCCGCCCCCGCCACCACCGGCTCTGGTTGTAAAGCAGGAGGTTGAAGATGAGGACGACAGCTGGGGCACAGAAAACTGCAGTGAGCCATCGCCAGAAGAGGAGGACGAAGATGAGGATGATGACCTTGGAGATGAAGAGCGAGACAGGGGCTCGGACAGTGACGGGGAACCCTGGGGTGTTTTGGATACCTTAGATGGGTCGAGGAAAGGCCTTGTAGGGAGGGCGCAGTGAAGAGAACATTTCATGCTCGTATAGGCTCTTGTTATAAACACATGCAAACATCCACACACACAATATCATATAGACGTACAACAAAACCTCACTCACTGTTCTTCCAAAATGTAAAAAAAAAAGAAAGAAAAGAAAATGCTGGCCTTTCCTTACTCCCTCTGCTCTCCTTGCTGCACATTACTGTGTCCTCCTATTTGGAGCACAGCAGAGCCTTAAGTGTACAGACACTTCTAACTCAGGCCACATGGTCCATGACACGGAAACTGCAGAAGCATAAAGTCAAGAAGAGGCAGCAGTAGACCATATGAACTCTTGGCTTGGCCTCGAGGGAAGTTAACATGACAAAAGGAACGTAACCTCTTTAAAAAGCTAAATATTTCCTTTCTTTCCTACTATTGTTCTTGATATCTAAAATAGGGGGACAGCCAAACCAGATACCAGAACTGAGCAGTTGAATTCTGATGGATTACAACAAGCACATTATAACAAAAGTACAGGGCAATACCAAATTGAGTATGCTAACCTTTTTTATTTGTTTGTGGTTATTGCTTTTGAACATTGGTTTCTGATTGTTTTTTTGTTTTTTTGTTTAAATTACTAAATAAGTTCATACATATCTATATAATGTCATATTTTGTCTTTCATGTGTTTATTATGGCTATATACCTATAAATTCCTTTGGCAATTTTTTCATTTAGATTACTTTGGAAGACATTTGGAGGGAAAGAAGCATCAATACAGCTGGCTGAGTCTTCCTTATTATCTGTAGAAGCCTTATCTTAGTTTTTTGTTTGTTTTTGGAGCAACATGGCTTGCTGCAGATCTCAATGATAATCATACAGAACTAATATTATGTTTGCAGTGACCCAATCGGTTTCTGTTATCAGGGAATTGGCATTTTTTTCTTTTTTGCTGCCATTAAAGCAATATGTGCAGGAAGTATCTTTGTGCCAAAGTTAGGGAAAGTCAACCTTTGAGAATAGGTTTGACTACAGGCAGGGACTCCAGCTACAATCAGGTGTTACTCACACTAAAGTGCTCACTTTTGACGTGCACTAGGAACACACGCTCAGTTATGTAAACAACTTACACACTTTCATTGGACTTCACTTAGTAAGAGATGTGCCACCATGGTTTAAGCTTGACTGCAAAAGTAGCATTTTAGTCTGCAACTTTGGCACATCTCACCCATTTAGGTTAAATCCTTTATCTCTTAACATGATATTCTGACCTTAGCGTGTCAGACATGGGATGCAAAATGAAGACATCCGATTTAAGGATATATTTTCTCTGACTGGTGACTGTCTTGCAGGAAACTAAAAACTATCTGATCTGTGAACGTACCATACAGAAGTGCTTCCAAGCTGCCCTGACAAAAGCACTCCTCTTCGGTGTGGAAGTTGTTACTGTAAGATGAACACTTGCTGGTTTTAGCAGCAGTGTGGTGTTTGAAAATGATGCCTAAGGAAGCACAAAATCTGTCAGAAGGAAATTTTTCACCATTCATCCACTTTGCTTGGACAGAGCGCTAGACTTCACTGTGTACCCAACAGTTAGTACTTTTACAGCATTGTTTGTTTTGTAATCAAATGCTTTTGGTACAAGGAGTAACCTCCTGCAACAAGGTGTCAAAGTTAGTGCCCACCTTAGAGGAGTTTTGTAGGAAATCTGAATATGTAACAGCAAATTATTGTAAGTTATTCTTTTAGAATTCATCGTCATTCAACATGCTTCATTTAGAAATTATAAGAATCTGGGTCTGCCTTATCTAGGAGCACACGCGAAAATTCATGTTCAGCTGTTCTGACAGTGCAGATCGCTAATATAAGATGCAAATTCTGCTTTTGAACTCTAAACTACAGGCCTGAGGTTTGGAAAGGGACTTAATGTTTCCTTGTAGAATGCCTCAATTTATAATTTTTATGGATTTTGCCATTTCTTTACTGCACAGTAAGACAAAGATTGGTCAACTGTTTTTGGAGTTGACGTTTTCATTAATGTTGGCAGAGCCTAAAGAAAGAAAGAAAGAGTTTATGGGTTTAGATAAGGAGGAGTCACACCATCTGTGCAAAGGTATAAAAAACTAAATACAGTTTACGGGGAAAGAAGACCTCAAAAAGCTGATTATTAAAAAAAATGTATGTTGATCAATAACTTAACACTATCTATTCTGTAGAACAATGTATTAGTAAAACTACATTGAGTCTGTGGAAAGTTAACCTTGCTTTCAAGCATTTGGCCTGCAGTGGAGTTCATAAACAGAAATCTGAATCGCCTAAAGTTAGAAGAGGCAGGTCTGGACCTTTTGGAAATCGCAGATTAGAAATCCACCTTTAAAACTCCAATCAGCATAGTTAATCCACACATTACCTTAGACTCAATCATCGACAACATAGTGGCATCAACATAATGAACAAAGACAAATGCAGGATTTTCTTCAGTTTTACTAAAACATATTTTTAATCAGACTCAGGGCTTTTCAGAAAGGACCAAACACTAGATGCTCTTATGGCATGCTAGAAACAGGCAATATTTATGTGTGTATTTCTAACTGTGGATTAAAAGCCCCCATAGCATAGATGCTAGTCTGACTCTCATCACCACCCTCACCGAGCATCTGTGCAGCAAACTGCCTTCTGATCTCAAAGCCATTATCTCATCTTGTCTTCTAATGTATACTCCCAACTCTTATTGAGGGAGAGGAATGTGTGTTCTCATGTATCAATTCTTAATTGCCAAAACGTCAGAATGGGCGATTAGCTGGGAGACAATGGCTGATGTACAGTGCAGAGGTTCTTTTTTTATTATTATCTCTGTTTAAAGCAATATGGACATTCTTCTAGTAGCAATGAGACTTGCCATCTGAACATAGGCAGGTCTCTTTGTGTGTGTTTGTATGTGTGTCTTTGGTTGTATGTACATGGATGCTGTTACATGTCTTTGGTCAATGGGTGAATGTCCTCAGCATGGTGCTGCCACAGTCTTGTGTGGCAACCTCATCCTTCCTTTCTCTGCTGGGCTGTCAAGATGTCAGTAATGGTAATGCTGGCAGAACATTGAGATTATGTTGTTTTCTGTGTTTTGTTTTGTCAACATGGCCAACATGTTGCCAATCCTCTGTTTATTTCAACTCTTGTCATACAAAGAAAAGCCATATAAACAGTAAGAGGCACAATAAACTACTTTTGTGAGAGTTCTAGCCTTTTTATTGCATGTTTTGCCCGTTTCAGGAATGGTGCCTCCACTTTTCATGCAAACTTGTTTTTGCAGTTGCTACTGGGCTTAAGCAGTAGAGGGAGCTCTTGCACTGTTACTCCCAGGCGTTGGTGCATGCAGCCTCAAAGACTTCATGGAACAGCAAGCAGGATAGGAAGCTCCTACTAATAAATTACACCCTCCTGCAGAACAAGGACATCAGATAACGGTCTGCTCCCAAGATCTGCTCTCTACTCTTGTAGAGAAGCAATGTTTTCCCTTCAGCTTTGTCTCCTGAAGACCATAATGACATGTATTCATTAATATGTAAGACATAAATTGGGGACTAAAGAGAATGTAAGTACAACACTAAAATGAAAGAAAAATGGAGGGAAAAAAAGGTTAGAATCTAACAAACTATTTCCATCCATCCATCCATCCATCCATCCATCCATCCATCCATCCATCCATCCATCACAATAAAGAACAA